ATATATGTATATAGATAAGATATTGATTTGATACAACTGCGAACTAGAAATAACTTTAGCTTAGTGGGTCGTTCCTTGCACTACCAAAAACCTGAAGCCCAATCAAATAGATCCTGAGATCCGATTCGATTGTGATTCAAGTGCAAGTGCTGGTCGCGCAGGACGTCTAAGAAATGCACTATCGGTGTTTTGATCTCGTAATTACATTGAATCTACAAGCGCTACGTAAAATATACAACTAGTTCTCTACGTATCTAAAGTTGTTTGATATAGAGTGGGACATATAGATACATATGTATATATGGAAAGGTCTTGCTAAGTACGCTACAGTGTAATAACGAGACTTTACATTCAAATAGGGGGAGTTTGGTTTATACAACTACAGACGAATGGGGTTTTATCTATGATAACAGCATTCAGAAGGCACGCATCGGCAGCAACTGCATCCGCAACTGGCGATGGCTTCACAAGGCACTTGGGTACTACGTGGCAAGATTGATATCCAAAAACGGTTTGTTACATTCTGGCAGTATGTATGTATATATGTGTGGGTGTGTGTGTGTGTGTGTGTGTGTGTGTGCGTGAGGGTGTGTGGCTACACTCGCGTCTCGGTGCTGCGACTGCGCAGCAATTGCAGCGGCTGCAGCTCACGTTGCGTATCGTTGTAGTACTCATGATCGGAGCTGGTGGACTCGCTGCCCGGCATCTTCACCTCCATGCTGCCGGGCACACCTGCCACAGGTATGCCAATGGTTTGGGTGGGAATGGGCGCCTCGCCAGCGCTGAGTGCATTCAGCAGATACTCTGGATTATCCACGCTCACGGGCACCTGTTTCGGAGCAAGATAAACTTCAATTAGTATTCAATTCACACTTTAAGCTTACTCAATTCTCTACTTACGCCTATCACATCGATGTAGCCCGTGGCTGCTGCCGCCATGTTGTTGTTGGGATTGTTGCTGTTGTTGTTGTTGTTGCTGCTGCCATTACTCTGGCCAGTGGGCATCAGATAGTCATCCTCATCGACTGGCAGATCAAGTCGCAGATTGCCCACGCCCACTTCGCGGGCATTGGAGTCGGTTTCGTCATCCCCAACGCCTCCGCCACTGTTCGAATTCTTGTTGCTGGGATCCTTGCAGTAGCGATTGAGCTTGGGTATCTCGTCGGTGCCATCAGTGCGATGGCTGGGACCGGGCGCCGCCTTGGGCTGCAGATAGTCATCGGCCTCGACCAGGGGCTCCGACCCATCGGTGGTTGGCGCCAGCTTGCGTATGAGATCCTTTTCATCCTGGCTGGTGTAGGCGGGCAGCCTGGTGAACTTATCGCCGGGTATGACCAGGAAACGGCCCGGATCACGAGCGAACTCGGCAAACACGTTGGTCAGCTGCTTGAACGTCGGACGCAGATCGGCGTCCAGCTGCCAGCAGGAGAGCAAGGTGCAGTAAATGTCCAGGGAACAGATCTCGGGCTGCTCCAGCTTCAGGCCCATCTCGATGAGATCGGGTATATCCTTGGCCAGTATATTCTCATGTGGCCGCTGGCCAAAGGTCAGCAGCTCCCAAATCGTCACGCCAAATGCCCACACATCCGACTTACTGGAGAAGATGCGATGCCGGATGCACTCGAGCGCCAGCCACTTGATGGGCATCTTGCCACCGGCCGCCTTGTATTCATTGGACTCCAAGCTGAGCAGCTTGGCCAGGCCAAAGTCCGTAATCTTCACCAGCGATGGCGTCTGCACCAGGACATTACGTGCGGCCAGATCGCGATGCACCAGCCGCCGCTCCTCCAGATAGGACATGCCCTTGGCTATCTGGGTGGACCAGTTGAGCAGCGCCTTGGATCCGATCTTGTCCCGATTGTTGCGCACATAGTCGAGCAGGCAGCCCAGCGGCATGAGCTGTGTGATCAGCATCATCTGCGAGGACATGCAGACGGCCAGCAGCTTGAGCAGATTGCCGTGCTCCACAGTTGCCATGGCGTAGGCCTCGTTGAGGAATTCCTGACTGGACTCGGCGCCAGACGTCTTGAGCAGCTCCTTGATGGCAACAGGTATCTTGACATTCTCGCCCTCCGGCACCCAGACACCCTTGTAGACACGTCCAAACGCGCCCATGCCCAAGACGCCGCCTTTACGCAATTCCGCATCCTTGACGATTCGCAGCTTGCTGAGATTGGCGCCCATGTTGGAGGGACGCAGCGGCTCCGCGTCATCGCAGCCGAAGAATACTTTGGCCAAATCGTCGGTCTCCTTCTTCTCCTGCTGCTTCTGCCGGCAGATGTAGATGATGACGCAGAGCACACAGAGCACAGGTATGAAGACGGCCACAAAGATGATGATGATCATGTTCACATTGAGGTTGGCGGTCACCTTGGAGCCGCGTGGCGGACTGGACACGCAGTGCGGTCCAATGAAGTGCGATTGGTAGTTGACATGCGGCTGCTCCGCCGGGCACTTGGAGGTGCAGTTGAACATGGTCGAATTGTCGTAGACCTCGCCCTCGGCAAACACCTTGAAGTTGACACAGGCCAAGCAGTCCTCCGCGCCGGGACCCGTGCAGCCCTTGCACTCCGGATGGCAAACGAAACACTCGCGCCTCTCCTCATCCGCATAGTGATCGCTCGGGCACTCGTCCTCGCACTGCTCCAGTCGCTTGTAGCGCGCGCACTTGGAGCAGACCTGCAGATGGAAGCCATAGTTGGTGCACAGCTCGCAGCGCGGATGGCACTTGCGACAGATGGCCTTGCCGGCCAACGGCTTGAGCGAGCCCTGCTCCTGCGGATGCACATACTCCCAGTAGTAGCCGTCGGGGCACTTGTCGTCCTTGCGCAAGCAGCGCTCCACCGTCGCGTCCGCATTGATGATGGCCAGATTGCACGTATTGCAGGCGCCGTGTCCAATCGTGTTCTTGGGTCCGGTGCAGCCCTCGCACGTCTCGTGGCACTTGCGGCAGATGCCAAAGTCCGCGTACTTGTCATCCGGACAGACGGTCACGCAGTGCTGCTCGTCGCGCACATGAACGCACTCGTCGCAGTGCTCGGCGCCGGGGCCGGAGCAGGTGCGGCACTCCGGATGGCATTTCTTGCAGGTCTTCGAATCGAACTGGTAGGTGCTGCAGAGTGAGAGAGAGAGACAGAGAGAGGGGGAGAGATGTTAGTAAAGCGTTAAGGCAGCCAGGGTGATTTGCTACTCACTTGGAGACATTGCGACAGTCGGCTATGCAGGTGCCATTGTAGTTGAAGCTCTTGCAGTTCAAGCACTGCTCCGGTCCAGCGCCCCAGCAGCCATCGCTGTTGCATTGATCCGAACAGATTTGACCCGTTTTGCCTGCAAATATATAGAGAGAGAGAGAGAGAGATAAGTTAAGCATACTGAATAGCTTCAACTGGAGAAATGAATATACGTACGACACTCGGACGTATTTAGATTCTCATTGATGAACAGCTTCTGATCGTTGGTCTTCTGAATCGCGGCCCAGTGTATGCTGCTCACATAGCAGAGCTGCGTGTTGTGCTGTATGACGATGCTGCCGGAGTTGATGCGCTTCAGACTGCGCAGCTCCAGGCTGGATAGCGAGGACTTGACAATGGCCAGGGCGGCAAAGTAGCTCTCCATGAGCTGGCGACCGTGAATGACCTCCAGATTGCGAAAGTAGGAGAGATTCTTGAACTGCGGATGCACTCCCTCGATATTCAGATAGCCGGTGATCTCTTTGACCGTCGAGAAGACTTCGAGGCGATCGGGATGCATGGGTATGTAGCGTGCGCCCATCGTGTAGTTCGCATAGATGTCCTGATAGCCCGAGAAGGTCTGGTCCAGCACTCGGATGTTGCCCTCGATCACGGTGCAGTTCTTGAACGAGTCAATGTTCCCGGAGTGAAGAACCGCAATGCCGGGACAGGTCTTGGGGCAGGGTCCGTTGCAGGCGACGCATTCGCCGTCCTTGGCCATTTTGTCCGAGGGGCAGCTGCGCACGCAGGCGCCATTGTCCTTCAGCAAGTGTCCCGGACACTCACGCACACAGGTCGCGCCATAGGCGTACTTGCCCTCGGGATTGGCCTCCAGCTCATAGTTGGTCGGGTTGTATTTGCGCATGGGCGGGCACTCCTCCTTGCAGACGCCGTCATCGAAGAAGTTCTTGCACGCGATGCAATCCTTTTGCGTGGGTCCCGTGCAGCCGCCAGCGCAGAACAGGTGACAGCAGTCCCTCGGGCCAGAGCCGAAGCAACGGCCCTGCGCACACTGCGGCGCACAGGTGATCTTGCTGAACTTCTGGCAATTGTGCGCTCCCTCGCCCCAGCAAGCGCCGCGCTCGCACGACGGATGGCACGCCGGGCACGTGCGCTCCGCGGCCGTAAAGGTGTACGTGTAGTTGTAGTCGTCGTTGGCGCCCGACAGAATCTCGCGCCACACAATGGAGCGCGTGTGGCACAGATTGTAGTTGTTGAAGAAGCCAACCCAGCCAGCGAGTATATCGCGCAGCTCGGGCATCTCCAGGGTGTTCATCTTCGAGTATGTGGCAAACAGGGCGTATTTCTCCTCCTCAACAGTCAGGCTGAACAGCGTGCGGCCGCGAATGATTTGCAGTCTGCAGCAGAGAGAAAGACACAAATGGGGATTTAGATCGGCTGTAGCTAAAGAGCTCTCAGTAATGCGCTACTTACTTGGGAAATATCACATTCGTCACATCCACATGACTGATCAGTATATAGCCCGTTACCTCACGTATGTTGGCCAGGAAGCTCAGGTCCAGGTTGGGATCCTGCAGCCAGGTTAGCTCCAAATTGCCATCGACATAGGTGCAGTTCGTGTAACGATCGCGCAGATTGCGATAATGATGCTCTCGATTCGAGGGCACAGACAGACGACTCTTTGTGCCAATGCAAACTGTAAGCAGAGGGAGAGAGAGAGAGAGAGAGAGACGAAAAGATGAATTAGTATTTGAGTTGAAATTAATGAAACCATTTTCTATTGCATCATTATTAATAAGATTTGAGAATATATATTAATTATAATTAATAATACTCTAGAAACAGATTTCTTTCATGGGAAAATAAAAGCTATRTTTAGATAAATAAGAGAAATTTATGAATGTATAGGCAAAGACTTGGCTTAACTTAGGCAAAGAGCAAAAGTGAAATAAAATTAAGAGGAATACTTGGTATTATGGTATTTATAGTTTATATAAGATTTTAAAAAAACTTTTTTTTTAGATATTTCAATATAAATTCAGCAGTTTATTGAATTATTATTATTTATTTATTTATTATATGATATTATTATTATGATCATTTATCCATATTTTTTCAAGTTTTTCAACTCTAATTTCAGCAATTATCTGTTATTATATCTGAAACGCACATACCCCATCTGAAGAGTACTCAAGTTAACTTTCTGAAATTATTAAATTAAAGACAATTCAGGGCGTCAGGTGAGTTAGCACAGGGAAAGTAAATACATTTCACGCTTGATTTCAACGGAACATGGGATTGTGTGTGTGCGTGCGTGTGGGCTGAGCTTAATTGCTAGACGTTGTCTAATTAGACGAAGGTAGGTGTTGAATTATGTGCTACAGGTGAATGCAAATGCTAAGAAATTATAAATTAAAATCAAAGACCAAAGACCAAATTTCATTTGAATGATAAACGGAAATAGCTAGAGCTAGGGAGAGCGCAAGTTTGTTGCCTAAGTCTTTAGTATTTAATGCTCGGAAGCAATGAAAACAACTTAAACAAAAACTTATAAAACAACAACAACAACAACAACAACAACAACGACAGCTAGCAGCAAGTGGGCGCTGCTGAGTCGCAGTTCAGTTGGCGTTTTCAATAATTAGCAGCCCACGCAGACTCCGAGTCAGACTGAGACACAGGGATGGAGACCGAGACGGAGATGGAGATGGAGACGGAGCCGACTCCAATGACTGCTGTTATCATTAGTCAGCGACCTGTTTTAGCTGCCAGCAGAGTCAGCAGAGACGTTCGTACATCTTCCAGCTGCCATTGCCATTGATTTGCATGGCCTACTACTAGATGATTATGTGTATGAGCGCAGAGATTCTATGAAAAGGGCTACGTGGGTCGCCGCGCTCATCGTGTGGGCCGCAAAAGTGTGCCATGTCGCAGTTGGGGCTGGAGCTCGAAAGACATAGACACCCACTTGCAGCCAGCCAGCCAGCCCACCACTTGGGCACGCCCACCTCTGCTACTCAGCTAATTATCAAACGGAAAAAAAAAGGAATGAAAGAGACAAAATAAAAAATAAATTAAAAAAAAAAAAAAATTATCGATAGCCATAAATATTGCGCATTTTATTGATTTCAGTTCGTGGAAAGGCACGAAAAAAAGAAAAGAGTTTTAAAAATAATTATGAAGAAAGATATTGGATGCGAAAATATTGGCAGAAATATTTTGTTTGTCGCCAGAAATGCGAAATTCTTGAGTTGCTTGGGAAACGTAAAAAGAAAGACAAAAAAAAAAAACCAAAGAGAAGAAGTTAAATGCCTGCAGTTATGCGGCGCGATGCATGCCACACTGGACACATTGCGGCTTAAAGGCAACAGCGACAACAACATCAACAATCGTAAGCAGCAGAATAAAAGGTGAGGCTGCAGTTGACATTGGGACGCGGCGCACATTGATCAAAAGCGGCTGCTGGCAAATCGAAGCGCAAAAATTTTCGTACAAATTCTTTGGCTTTGTTTTTGTCCTGCTGCTGCTGCTTCTGTCTCTGTTGCTGATGATGATGATGCTGGCACGACGCAGAGTTAAGCGAGAGAGAGCCAAGCGAGCCGCTGGCCAGTTAAGGCAAGGCTGGCCACAGCCTCTTCGCCTTTAACTCCACTTCAGCCATTTCTCATACCGAACGCCGCATGCAACCCTTTTCAAGCCGCTTTATCGCGCACAATTTATCAGCAGCGTTTTTCATGTTGTGCTCCTTGCCTGAAACCTAAGACACGAACAGTGAACAGCGAGCAGCATCGGCAGCAGCGGGGAGCGGCTGGCGTTGGGGCAGGGTTTCTTGTGAAATGCTTCAGATGTTGCATATGCGATTTTTCTTTTGCGCCGCGGACACGCCCGCATTAACTCTGTCTGTCTGCCCGTGTGTGTGTCAATCCCTCTCTCTCAGTGTGTGTGTGTGTGTGTGGCAAAAAGGCTAATTTGTAATCCTTAGGCTAAGTGTCTCGACGCTAATGAGCGACTGTCTGCCTCTCGCGCTCTTTGCATATCTATCCACGTCCGTCAACAAATCAAAGTCATAATTCAAGCGAGATGTGCTCATTAAAACAAAAGACTTAGGCAACGAACTTGAATGTACTACTAGCCAAGAGAGGCTGGGCATTGCCGGGCGAGAGGGGCGGCCTGGCTGTGGGGTCAGCCTAGCAACGCTCATTGTATTTGTTTATCGATTGTATTTGTTCAGCCATCAACAACACGACGATGATGATGATGATGATGACGACGACGACGACGACTCGATTTCAACTTCGCCCTCTGCCTGGCCCTAGCTACGCCTGCTGCCCCCCGTTTCCCCAGCCATGCCGTGTGCTGTGCTGACGCGCTGATTAATAGACCCAACCGCATTCCAAGCTTTGCCTCGCCGTGCTGACTTTCTAAATATTGTGTTTATTTTTTTTTTTCGAATTTTTCTTCAACCTCAGCTTCGATTTTTTTGCTGCTGGTGAAAAGGCCACAAACCGAGAAACTCAGCAAGAGAATGAGTGGCAGAGGGGGAGATTGAGGGGCGGGACAGCATTTCGTGTGGCAAGTCAAACGGCTGCATAATCGATTTGAATGCTGCAACTGCGGCGACTAGAACTTCAACTTCTAGACACGAGCGTCGTCTCTATGCGCGCCTCAGACTCCGAGCCAAAAGCAACAGGCGGGACTTTAGACTCGAAGCGAGGCACAGCTAACATAGCTCGCTGTTCGAATCTCAGTTTCAGACTCGCTTAGCCGGTTCTGACTGCGTGCTGTTCTTGCTGTTGTTGTTGCTGTTGTTGTTGTTGTTGTAGTCGCTCACGTTTATGTGGCTTGCCCCTCAGCTCTACCTCTACACCATCATCATGGTCCTCATCTTCGTCTGCTGCTTCTTCTGTTCTTTTTCCCTCTAGCTGTCTGTCAGCTTGTCTCTCTGTTCGCTCGTCCGTCCGTCCGTCCGCCTGCCCGTCTGTTGTATTCTGTCTGTTTGTGTGTATTTTCATTTCGTGGAAAAGATTTTTAACTCTGTTGGCCGTACGAACCATCTGGATTGCCGAGCGTTCAGCTCTTTGCTTCTACAACCTTTCCCTCAGGCAGACAACAACAGCAACAGCAACAATAAAGGCCATAGATTTTTGTTGTAAAATAACAAAAGATTTAAAAGGGCATTAAGCATGCTTTGTTTTTTACCTACACCGAATCTATGTTTGCTCAGCATGTCCCCTGCCCCGGCTCGGCCCGGCCCTGCCTTGCCCTGCCCTAGCCCCAAGACGTCCCATCGAACTACGCAGATTCTGATCAAATACCCAAAAGAAATTACAAGACGTCAGCCGTTATTGCCTCAAGCTGTTGCCCACAATCTCAACTGAGGCAAGTACATTGATCTCCAAGCAAAATACAATAAAGACTACGGTGAAAGTTCGTCATAAATCGAGCCAGAGCTCTATATACTCTATATATATACATACATCTATATGTATGCAGATGCAGCGCCTGTGATTAGGTGTCATAGACTGTGCGCCTGTTTGTTGTTTGTTTTTGTTTTTTTTTTTTTTTTTTTTTATGGGTTTGCAACATAATGTCCGCAGCATCTTTAAGGATCGCGCAGTTGCCACATAAATAATTCATAACTGTTTTGCGACAATTCAGTCGCGGCACGCGTTCAATTTACAATGAAATTGTGTAAACGCGCTTAATAAATTCATTTGCGACTGGCCATTAAATGCACGCAGCTCATTACAGCCGCTGCTCCGGCTAAGCTCGCCTATCTATCTCTCTCTCTCTCTGTCGCTCAGTCACTCTGTGTCTTAGCCACAAGCCGAGCTGATCTGGCGCTTGGTTACGTGCGCGGATTTTGCAAAATAATTCTGCAATGCGGCAACTTTCTTTCATAAGTTGTTGTTGTTGTTGTAGTGATTGTTGTTGCGGCTGCCGCTGCTGCTCTTGCTGTTGTTGTTGTTGTTGTTGTTGTTGTTGTTGTTGTTGTTGTATGTATATTCTATGTCGTGGCATCACGAAGACAAAGGCAAATAAGCGCAACGAGCGAAGCGGCCAAGCGATCGAGCTGCAAATCTTTCGCAGAAAACGCTGCAAGCGCATCTTCAGCAAATTTTGTTGCGAGGCGGCAACGCGGCAGATCATGCAACAACAAAGCACCGACAAGGCCTGTTATTGGCCAAAAAGAAGAAAACGGCTAAAAAACTAAAGACCTCAAGCCACAAAATGCTGGCCCTGGCTACAACTGCGCTGAGCTGCGCTGCGTTGCTTTGTTGCCCATTTCGTGTTCGATGCGCGTTCATTTAGTTTTGAGCACAACAATTGGGCGCAGGTCGTGCCTCACGACAACAACAACAACTATAGTAATAGCAACAGCTTCAATGAGAGTTGCAGGCAGATGCAGCAGCAGCAGCAGCAGCAACAGCTAAAGAAAAGCTAAGCAAACAATGCAGCCCATTAGATAAGCCTGCCGATTGCGCTTTGTGCAAAGTCCAAGCTGACAGCCAAACAGAGAGAGAGAGAGCGAGAGAGAGATGGAGAGAGGCAAGCAGAATCGGCAGCAAAGGCTGGCTTAATGAGCACGCCTTGGCGCTATTTTTGGTGCGAGTTCAATATCTTGGCTCAAAAGCATTTTCAGCTATTTTTAGGCATAGAATCAAGCCAACAACGACAACAACAACAACAACAACA